TGATTGATGAGATCAGTGGAGGTAGTGGGAACTTTAGGAACTGAGACCTAGCTGGAGGAAGCAGGTCACTGGAGGCACACCCAGGAAGGTATATCTTGTCCCAGGGCCCCTCCCACCATCACTCCCTTCTTCCTGGCTACCATGAGTTGAGCAGCTTTCCTCCACCCTATCCTTCTGCTCTAATGGTCAGCCTCATGTCAGGCCCAAAATAATGGAGCCAAGACAACCATGGACCAAGACCTCTAAACCATGAGCCAAAATACATCTTCCCTTCTCTAAATTGATTTCTCAGGTATTCTGGTCACAGAAATGCAAAGCTGACTAACACAAACACATAATAAATTAACTTCAAAGCCATGCATTTCACCAAGAAAGCCCAAAGCCAATCACCTAATCTTTCCAGCCATTTTGTGAATCCAGGGCATAATAAACTCAGAGCTGAGAGGCTGCTCTCCAGGAATGACGAAATCAGAGGAACTGCATTTCTGAGTAGGTGTGATGAGCTGGGGCAGGGAAGCACCTTACAAGTAGGGCTCAATTCCCACATAAACTCAACCAAGCCCAAACTACCATCATCCTCACTTTCCAGTTGAGCAAACTAGTACCCAGAAAGGCTAAGCAGCTTTCCCTTGGTTGCTCATCTAGTTTGTCCCCAGCAAAGTAGGCTGGTGCATAGCCCATATAACCCAGTTGAATGACCTGCCCACAACAAGGGACTTACCTGTGCTCCCAAGCCTGCTTATACCAGTTACCCCTCCTACTCTGGTTAAACAACTCAGTGGGATACTGTGTAAACCACTGACACAACTGTCAAAAGAAAGTTGAATTCCTGAACATTAGTTGAAATTCTTCAGAAAGATTCAACAAACACGAATCACTAAAATACAGCTGTTGAATTTGGCATGGGTAAAACAAGGAAAATTTCATAAACTCAAGAGTTTACATTTATGTTTCTAGCACAAATCTTCTCACTCCGTGTAAGACATGGAACTACAGGCAGAGGAGAGGCTGTGGAGAAAGGAGAGGGTCCTCGGGCCTAGGCAAAGCCTTGGTTCAGATCACACTGGCTTATGGATATGCATCTTATTCATATTAGAAAATATGGGCAACTCTTTTAAAGAATTCCCCCATATGACCATTTCTTTCTATTAAGCAGACACCCCTCATTCTATTCCTGCTGGAGAAGAGGGCATCAACTGAAAGGACAAGGCAGGTGGGGAACTGCCTGGATTTGACAGCCAATTATCGAGAGGACTCTGGCTGTTTGAAAGAGAGCCTGGCTGGAGTCAGGTGCAATAAAGAGAAACACACACCACAGAGCCTGCCCTGCTGCTCCTCCCACCACCCAGCCTTTCCATTTCTGACCTAAAAGAATAAAGATAGAGAAACAGACTGCCAAACACCTCCCTGAGGCTAGTTTTGGCAAGAGAACTGCCCCCATAGTTAATTCTGTGAAGATCAATCGCACCTACTATGGAGGTGTAAATGCCTCCTACTATTCCCTGCCCTGAAAATCAGAGAGCTGCCCAGGAGCGCTGCTGGAGCCCAACACAGGGGGTCCTACCCGGCAGACAGGAAAACCAGGGTCAATTTAGGCAGTAATTGATAAGAGTTTAAAATAGAAATGACACGCTGGTGCCTAGGTGCTTACTTTTCTCTGGAATAATAACCACATTTTTCCTCAACTAATTCTGTTAAGCTAGTAATAAGAACTTATTAAAAATGCACACTGTAAAATAGTTACTTGGAGAATTTTAATAAAGAATTATACATATGAAAAAAATGTGTGTGACATAATCAAAATATGTGGTTTCTGTGCAGGATCACTGCCTCAAATGAACACGGCCACTCTGGGTCATGGCCAAGCCCAGGGATCACAATGCTGGGCATGAACATTCACAGGGCGTCCTTCCAAGGGCCCAGCAGGAACATGCAGCCCCAGCACAGGCAAGTGCAGAGCACCTGAAGACCTGCACGGAGGGGACTCAGAACAGGACAGGCACAGAGCAGCAGTGCAGTGCTCCAGGCTCAGTTCCACTTTGGGCCAGGAGAGACCCCTACGCAGTACACTCCAAACTCCTCATGCAGAAGCAGCCTCAAGGCCCACTGTGTGCTCTTGCCTTAAGAACTACCTTGCTGCTTTAAGGTAACAGAAAATAACCATAAAAATACCAGGAACTCTGCAAGAAACTCTGCTTAATCAGGAACTAAAGACCCTGGCAATTAAGTCCCTCAAAAGAGTAGCTATTATTGCAGAATATTAGCGATCCTACTACACTAGCTACATAAAAGAAGGAAATAACATCTATAAGCAATAAAATACTGGATAATAATTAACCCGTATTGGTTATTTCCTAAGTGAGGAACTGTGCTAAGGGCATTTTGTGTAGCAGTGGTTTGTTAAATCTCGACATCAACCATATTATTCCCAAGTTCCTATTAAGAAAATCTCAGGAAGGTTAAGAAAACCGCAAAAGGTTACACATCTAGAAAATTGGGGTCAGAATTTGAACTCACAATCGGACTACGGACACTGTACCATGCTACACTGCCAGAGTAAGCACAGTGCCCTTCCTATAGTTTTTTTGTTTGTTTGTTTGCTTGTGGTACCAGGGATTGAATTCAGGGGCACTTGACCACTGAGCCACATTCCCAGCCCTTTTTGTATTTTATTTAGAGACAGGGTCTCACTGAGTTGCTTAGAACCTCGCTGTTGCTGAGGCTGGCTTTGAACCTGTGATCCTCCTGCCCCAGCCTCCCGAGCCACTGGGATTACAGGCGTGTACCACTGCACCCAGGTCCTATAGTTCTTAAAATGCACCCAAATCCTCCATCTCAATGATCCTGTACCTGCTCTTCTAATGGCCAGAGACACTCACTTCTTTCACTCCAGTTTGAGAATTCTTGTCCCAAAGAGCCTTTCCCACACCCCAAGAGGTCAATCTCCCACTACTGCATTTCCTGGGGCTGTAGGCTCTTCCTTGCCAACACTGGCCATCAAACTTTTCGCACAGGGTTCTTTGGTGGCATCACATCTGTGCCCACTGCTCTGGGAGTCCCTGAAGCACACCAGCCCCCATGCAGCATCTGACTGGGAGTGAGGTTAAATGGAGGGCTGACACTGTTAAAATAAATTTATGAAAATACTGAAAAAGTGAATGACATAGACCATAAAATAAAGCAGCACGAAGAACCCTACGAACATGCCTGGATGAACTCTCCCTGCATGGACAGGCAGAGGACTGGACCACAGCCCCTGGGAAAGGCCTGCATCCAGCCCAGCATCACACCACAGTTACGCAGGAAGAGCTAGTCAAAAGAACACTGGAAGAACAACAGTGCCCAGGGAAGGGTGATGGCTGGCCAGGAGGAGCCAGGTAGTGAAAAGGGGGCAAGACTGACCGCAGCTGGCACAAGTAGGAAACCAGAAAAAAAATGAATGGAGCAGCAGTTTGGGGCAGTGCAGGATATAATCCCTCAGAGAAAGGACACGAATATGAATATGCAGGGAGCCACTGAACACCTAAGGCTACTTTCTACCAAGGGAAACCAAAGACTACAGAGGCCCAGGAGGTTAGAATTTGGTTGGGAAGGAGCAGTGCAGCAGAGACACAGCAAGAACAGTAGTGATCAGCAGAGATGTCCCAGAGAGACTTAACTGCAGACAGAGGAGCTCTAAACAGGGTATGGACCAAGTGGCAGGCTGGACCAGTCTCCACCAGCACTGTCCCCAGCACTGTACTGGAGCACTTGTAAACAAGTCTCAGTGGACTCAACTGACCTCCAGTTCACTACACATCCTAACAAAATCCACATAACTGGTTTGTTACCATTTATACAGCAAAACCTAGCAACCAACCACATAAAATTCTTGAAGTCTAGCATCCAATGAAATATTACCAAGCATGTAAGAAGTCAGACAATATGACAAAAGACAGGAAAAATGAAGAAAAAATTTCCATAAATGTCAGAGTTGGTGAAATTAACAGAAAATTCTCTCTACAGAGAAATTAAAAGAATGTCCTGTATATTCCAGAAAAAAAAATGATAACTTTTGAGGACAGAAATGCAAATAAGACTTAATTAAGTATGCATTTGAGTTATGAGAAACACAATATATAAAAAATAAACTGAAAGAAATCAACAGAAGATTACACAACTGACAAAAATGAGGGAACTCAAGGCACAGTAATAGAAGCTTTCCAAAGTGAAGCACAAAAGAAAACGAAATAGAGGGAAAAAGAATAAAGCACCCTTCACCTGCAGACAGGGTCAGGCAATGTGATGGGACCTTAAGAGAAAGGAGAAGAGAAGAGATGTGCCCAAAGAGAGGAATGGCCAGCTTTCAAAAATCTGCCAGGAACTGTAAGCACAGAAGAGCCCAGCACTCCAGGATCCCATGCAGACATGCATAACGCAGGCCCCCACCAGGCTGCTGGTCAGTGGCTACAAACCAGGGACAGAGAGGTATCCTTTAAAATGTCTATTTTACATTTAATTGACAAATGATAATTTGTCAATTAAAATCTTGAGTGCAGTTCAAGAAGAAGACACATTACATAAAAAATGGAGAAATAAAGAAAGAAAAACAGCAAACTTATCAAGAAACATGCAGTGAAGAAGTAGAAGGAGTCTTTATGGCACTGACCAGAATTTTTACCTGGAGAAATACCTTTCAAGTTGTAAAGGGAAATACAGACATTTTAAAATAAGCAAAAGCTAGCCAGGCATGGTGGCACATGCCTGTTATCCCAGTGGCTCTGGAGGCTGAGGCAGGAGGATTGCAAGTTCAAAGCCAGCCTCAGGAACTTAGTGAGGCCCTAAGCAACTTAGTGAGGCCCTGTCTTAAATATTTAAAAAGGGCTGGCAATGTGGCTCAGACGCAGGTTAAATGGCCTGGGTTCAATCCCTGGTAAATAATAATAATAATAATAATAACAATAACAACAACAACAACAACAATAGGCAAAAGCTTAAAGAACTCACTGCAACACACTTACGAGAAACGTTAAGGAAGTTCCGGATGGAAAGCTGATGCTACTTCAGCGGAAGAAGAGGAGTGGGAACGGCAGGTGTATGGGTAGTGCAATAACATTTCTTCATTCTTCACAATCTCTTCAAAAGGTAACTATTAAGGCAAAAATAATGTGGGTTCATACACATGCAGAAGTAAAATAGCAGTGAGATAAGAAAACAAAAAAGATGGCAAGGAAAAAGTCAAACTGTCTTCATACCCAAACAGCATGCTGACGACCCCAGTGGAACTCCAAGAAGCAGCGAGAAGAGTCAGTGAGGTTTTCAAGATGCAGAACACAAGTAAATACACAGGTGGAAAGCAACTGGATGCTAGCACCAAATGGCTGGGCATTAGAACTTTTTAAATACCATTTATGGGGGTATCAAAAATACAAAGTTCTTAGGGATAAATTTAACAAAATATTTGCAATTCCTATAATCAGAGAAATGTTAAAAGAAACTTTTAAATGAAATTAAGCCACTTTCTTGATCAGAAAATTTTGTTTAGTCAACTCCTCCCAAGTTTACCTACAAATCCAATTTTATTCTAATGAATAGCCAAACAATGGCACACATCTATAATCCCAGAGACTAAGGAGGCTTAGGCAAGAGGATTGTAAGTTCAAGGCCAGCCTCAGCAACTTAGTGAGGCCTTAAGCAACTTAGCTAGACCCTGTCTCAAAATAAAAAATAAAAAGGGCCAGGGATATAGGTCAGTGGTAAAGTGCTTCTGGGTTCAATCCCCAGTACCAAAATTAAATAATAAAAGTCCAGAAATTAGTTTGGTAGAAATCAATAAGCTAATTCTAAATGTATATGAAAACCTAAAGGACCTGAAATAACCAAAACAATTTTGAAAAAAAACAAACAAACAAGTAGAATGACTCAGGGAAAATATACACTCATGATTTAAAGATAAACATGTAGATTAATGGAAGATAAGAGAAAATTCATAAAGAGATCCACAAACCTAAGGTCAATTTGTTTTTTACAAAGGTGCCAAGGTAATTCAGTGGAGAAAGGACAATCTCTTCAGCCAACAGTAACAGAACAGCTGAATACACGTGGGAGGCCGAATGAACTAATCCTTAGGTAACATAAAGAACTCAAATCTTTCACTGACAAAAATCCAAAACAAAACAATAAAACTTCCAAAAGAAAACACTGTGCTCTTGGGTAAGGGAAAGATTTCTTAGAGAGGGCATGCAAACCATGTGCTATAACTAAATACTGGTGAATTAAACTTGATAGAAATCAAGAACTTTTTTTCTTCAAAATAAGAAAATGGAAAACTGAGCCACAGACTGGGAAAAAATATTTGCAAAACATATAAAGGATATGTATCTATGCTATAGAAAAATCTCTTAAGGGCTTGATTCCAAGACTTGAACAGACTTGAACAGACATCATAACAATGAATATATATAAATGATAGTTAAGCCTAGGGAAAGATGTACAACATCATTATCAGAGAAGGAAATATCAATTAAAACTACAGTGAAGGCCAGGAAGGGTATTTTCTTAATTGACCATGTTAAATATGTGAGTAAAGACACTGAGAAACTGGCTCTCTCACACACTGTGAGTGGAAAGGCAAAGCAGTGCAGCTACTAAATGGTTGGCAGCTTCTAAAAATTAAATACACACTTACCACATGATCCAGTAATCCCCATTCCTATGTGTTTACCCAAGAGAAATGAAAGTGGGTTCACACAAAGACTTCTAAGTTCATAACAGCTTTATTTTTAATAGCCCAAACCTAGAAATAAAATATCTATCAACTCCTAAATGAATAAACAAATTGTGCATCCATACAACGGGATGCTTCTCAGTAGTTGCTAATATGCAACAACCAGACGCAGCTCAGAAAAGTTACGCTAGGGGAAAGAGACTGGATCCTATGCAGCGCTACTAATAGGAAACTGCAGGGAAGAAGAAACCATGCAGCACTGAACAGAGCCCCACTATCTAGGATCGAGGCAGGGGAAAGTGAGCCTGTCGGTGAGCATGAGAAGACTTCTCAGAGTGCTGGGCAATGTTTTATATCCTGTAATGCAGTTATGATCGCAAACTCTGTATTTTGTTAAGACTCATTTTAACAAATTAAATTTTGGTGAATTTCATCATGTGTGAACTATACATCGATCAAAGTGACTTAAAAAATAATAAGAAAACATAACATCTGCCCATTCTTCTCTTCTTTCCAAGCCAGGTATCATGGAGGCTACAGTGAATTCTTGACAAGGTGCTGACACCAATGTGTTGAAAACATCTCTTCAGAAGATTGAACTCCCTTGCTCTCCATTTTATGAAGTGACCTTGTGATCTGAACACTCTCCTTAAGATCCCCAATTAAGATCCAAAGAATGCAGAGCAGTTGTAAGACCACAAGGAGCTGCATAACCTTTAGGAACACCTTAATTTTTAGTAAAGGCAATGTAAGAATATACATGAAAATCCCAAGCCTATTCATATTGGCCAGTAAGATCCTATTTGCCTGAGTGACACTGGAAAAGCACAGTCCCTCTTTCTGTGTACTCTGTCCAGAAGGAAGCTACTAACCTATCAGTCTGGATATCTCAGCCTGCTAGCAAATAATTATCTCACAGTGAGAAATAATAAATGGCCATTCTGCTCTCTAGTCCCATTTTTCCACTCCCCACGGTCACTATGCTAGACCAGTATAATGTCCTAGAGGTGCATGGGCTTTGGATGACAAGGCTCAAATCCTAGTTACTGAGATTTCCAATAACATGAAAGTAGAGTTGAAGAGAATGGAACCCCCTCCCTACCCACATACCCCGACCCCCAAAAATTTCAATATTTTAAAACGGAGTAAGAAAGAAGGAGAGAAGGACATCCCCAAGGCCAGAAAGGAAGATAGAAATCAAAGAGAAGGCAGTCAGCAGAAGGTGACACCTCACAAACAACATTTAAGACCTAGATACCCACCCATGTAGGGATGACAGGTACAGAAAATGAACTGAAATCAGGGCCCAATACAAGACAGCTGTCTGTCTAGGTGATGGAGACACTCCTGAGAGCATGGAAACCAGAACCTACACAGCCTAGGCTTGGAGTCCAAATCGACACTGTCCCAAAGTACATGAGCCCTAGCCTACCAAGATGACTGTTGTGCAGACTCATGAGAAAGTCCCAGGCATCCCAGCAGAAGAAAACGAGAAAGTGTTCCAAAGAAACCCTTGCACAGCCCAGACACATGGAACTTCACAGCACCACCCTGAAGGCAATGAACATTCCACACTACACCACATGCGGCTGCAAACCATTACCAAAAAGTGTTAGCACAGAAAAAAACCCAGAGTTCACACTTCAAGATTAGAAATATCAAACGTGTAAAAGAAATCACATGTTTGATATGTGATTATCAAAAAATATACTTAGAATCTAAGATTTTTTAATTGACATCATAATCAAAAAGGAAAAGAGGGAGGAGAAGAGTAGAAATGGAAAATAAAGACAATGTAATTAATATTTCAGTAACTAGTAGAAGCAGAAGAATAGACACAGCTCAAGAGAAAGTTAGTGAGCTGGAAGGCTGATCTGCCAAACCATCCAGAATGCTGCGCAGAGAAATAAAGAGTGGAAACTATGGATGGTAAAAGGACCCACGAAGAACAGGATGTTAGGGCCTAGGATAACTCCAACAGGAATCCCACAGAGATAAGGAACACGGGAAGGGGCAACAAAGACATGATGGCTAATAATTTTTCAGAACTAAAAAAAAAAAAAAAAAAAAAACATGAATACTCAATTTTAAATACAAACGCTAAACTGAATATTTAATAACAAATCCATATCCAGATGAACTGCAGAACACTAAAGATTAACAAAAACAGAAGAATTATAAAGCTTAATTCCCAAATTTCTCATTGAAAAGTATTAGAGAAATAACTGTATAATTAGTAGGAGTGAGAGGTCTTGAATCAGAACTAATTCTGACGTACAGCTAGGTACTTATTAGGTTTGCAACCTTGGATAAATATCTTACCTGATTCTTGGTTTCCTCAGCTTAAAGGGTGTATGAAAATGCCTAACTCAGAAGATTGTTGAAGGACAGGCTCAATGACATAAGATAAAGAGACAGATGACAGAGACATGCAATACCTGGCACAAGTAAGTTCTTTATTATTAAATCACTGAGTACATAATATTACTGATATTGTTTATATTTATATCTCTAGTGTTCAGAACAACCATAATGACTAGAAAATTTAGGGAAGGAAAACTGAAGGAATTCTAGAAAGGAGAAATTCAGAGAGGGCAACCCTCTCCATTAAACCCTGCCCAAACCATGATTTGATCCTTAAACCATGCAATTTGTGTGGCAAACTCAGTGCAGCACAGCAAAGACAAAAGAACTGAACTGAAATTTGGGGGTATTATCCTTTATGTGAAAGAAAAGGTAACATATCTATCACCTCAGTTGATCTAAGTAACTAATAATGTTTTTTTTAAAAATCAATACTCTTTGGATGCATATGCAGAATCCAGAGATTCTACAACATGTAACATTCTACAACACATAACACTCACAATATTCAGGTTACAATCCAAAATTAGTATACAAAGAAAGTAGGAAAACATCAACTAGTTGAAAAGATAAAAATCAAAACAGACTGATTCCCAAATGCTGGATTACACACAAGGATTTTAATAATGGTTATAAATGTAAAGGAAAATGTGCCAGTGTGAATAAAAAGATGAGAATTCTCAACAAAGAAGTATTATTCGAAGACACCAAATAAAAATTCTAGAATAGAAACAATATATGAAATATTAAAATTCACTGAAGTGACTCAAAGAAGAAAGGAGATGACAAAAAATAAACAGAAATTTCCCAAATTTGGTGAAAGATATCTGTGTCCAAAATAAGGAAACTTAATAAATCCAAAGAGGACAAATACTCAGAAAACTTCACTTAGCCACATCATACTCAAATTACCAATAACCAGATATGGTAATTTTCAAAGCAGCAGGGAAAAAATTACATACATGGAATAATAATATGAATGATTTCTACTCCTCACCAGAAAGAATGGAAGCAGAATACAGTGAAAACCATTTCATTAGAGGAATTTTAAAGAAAAA